GGCTTTGTTGACAACTGTTCTACTCAAGACAGGACTGAGAATAGTATATATCTTGAAACTTTCTATATCATTTTTCCGTAGTTTGGTTTTTTGTTGTGTTGTCCAGAGAATCGTTAGAAAGAGTTTATGTATTGGATTTATTTATTTATTGTTACTAATGATTAAAAAAACATAGATATGGCTAAGCTTTCAGAAAAAAGTCTTAAGACGGAAAAGACTACAATTGCTAAGGTTAATGAAAAAGGAGAAGTTCCAGAGCAAGAAAAAAGAGTTCAGGAGATTATAGATAGTTCTAGAAAAGAATTTGGCAAAGATTTAGTCAGTACATTGGAAGATAACAATCAAGAATCTTATTGGTTGATTTTGTTGTGCCGATAAGCGATAAATTACATGAATCTTGTATCCGTAGCTTTTACCTTATTTTGGTTGTAGTTTTTTTTTTCGAAATATGTATTCTTTACCTAGTGCTAGATTTTATTATTCATAAACAAGAAATATTCCTGTAATAACCAATATTCTTATTATTGTTATTTTTTAGCATTAGTTTAAACTATTTATATTGAACCTAATATAATTTTAATATTAATGTTATATTATTTATATCTCAATTGAATAATGTAGAGGTTAAGAATTATCGATATAAATAAAAATATTATCAATTTAAATTAAAAATTAAGTCTTCTTAAGATGGTTGAAAATATTCAAAATATAAAATTTTACATTAATTATTTTGAACTGATTTTAAAATATTATGTTAAATTTATAATTACATCATTAAGAAAATAGGAATATTCGATTTTCAGCTAATTAATTTTCAATTTAATCTTATGTTTATAAAATATTGGAATTAAACCTGATTATTAAAACAATAAATATGAGCCATATATTGCGAAAAGTGGACTCTTAGAAAATTCTACCTTTCTAAGATTTATGAGCTACTTGTACACGGGACCTTCAGAGTCAACCAATCCACAAAGTGGTCCCTGTTCAATCGAGACAACTCTTTTATTTAGTTTATTACTTGACAAGAAAACACAAATTAAAATCGTGACTCTTCAAACAAGTAAAAGAAAGTCTTTAAAAATAATCCTCTTTAAACAATTATAAACACCTCTTCCATCATAACATCTTCAAATGCTTTTAAAAAAGTTTAATTGCTTTCTTAAATTGTATTGTGAAAGATATATTGAAAGAGTAGGATTGAATTGTGTATTATATTTTTACAAATTTGAGATACCAAATCGAGTGCTAAATCCCGTAAGAATAATTTTAACATTATTGGGGATGTATATTTTAATTTTTATTAAATCTCATCCTTTTCTTTTTGATAATCTTGGATGTATTGTAGAATTCTAGTCAAAGCAGTCATATCTACTCCTTCCTGATGACCGAGATGAATGTTAACTTTATAAGCATGAAATGCAAGTATATATAGCATTTAATTTATACCATAATGACTACTATGTTGTGTTGTGATAGGTTTTACAATAACCAATGTGTATTGAAGAATATTTTAATAGAAGTAATTGCAATTGATTTTTCTGATAATACATAATATAATAATAAGAGTTATTGCTAAATGAGCAGATCCTTTGGCATGATCAAAACAATGTAAATTTCCACAATTGGGCGGAAAATGTTTTTTTTATTGTCAGAAGTATTAGAAGCAGATAAAATAAAGATAAAATTAAATTTGATGTAATTTTTTATTTTAATTCTATAAACTTGTATAATCAAAATACATCAAATTTGTCTAATAGTGTACTAAATTTTTAAAACCAAATTAACTAACTTTCTATTGATTGCACTCCATCAACGTAAACTATATTTTTTTATAGTTACTTTTTCTTCTTTAATTGATTTATTATTAATGTCGCCGAATCATCACAATTAATTTTTTCTCAACTAATATTTTCTTCTCTACACAAATCTATAGCTTCTGAATTATTATTCTTAGCTGCTATTATTAAAAATTTTTTACCCTTTTCTTTATCTACTGGAACATTTAGTTTACCAAAATAAAAAAGTTTTCCTAAATTATATTGAGCCAAATGGTTACCATTATCAGCAGACTTAGAAAGATAAGTAATAAAATTTGTTCTAACTTCCTCATTTATTGTATTTTCCTCATCAATTAATGAAAACACATAGAGCAATTAAGATATAGCAACACCATTGTGGCTGCAATTTTATATAATTTTGATGCCTTTTCTTTATCTATATCACTACCAATACCTTGGTACAAATAATAACTATACCAAAAAGTTAATACT